GTTTTTATTATTATTATTTTGATTTTGTGACTCTAATAAACCTTTTAATTCTAAATCTAATTTTTGTTCGTCTCCTATTATTTTTAAATCTAATTCCGATTCTATTTTTTCTACTGAAATAAAATCTTATTCCATTTTACTTAAGAAATCTGCGACTATTACGTTTTTGCTACCTACGTAAAAAACTTTATTAGTAAATTGTAAAATATATTCTATTATATCTGAATTGTCTAGGAGATCTATCTGTTTTGGAGAAAATTGCTTTTTAAATTGGTTTATGATCACAAAAAAACTTTAAAATCTTTTGATTCTAACATATATCTAAAATGTTTGATTGAAAGGTAGATTGCATATAATTCTTTATCGAAAACACTATAGTTTAATTGCAATTTGGTTAATTTCTTTGAGAAAAAAGCGATGGGTTGTCTAAACACCATCTACTTCTTGTTCAAGAACACCACCTACACAGGAATTACTAGCATCTGTTGTAAGTGATAGAATGGATTCCTCTGAAGGATGTGCCAGAAAAGATGCTTTAATAAGTGCTTCTTTTACTTCATTAAAACTCTTTTCATAATCGAATGGCCAATCTTTTATAATTTTAACTTTATTTTTGTCTAAAAATGTTATAAAATCGTGCAAAGGTGCTAAAATGTGGGCGAATTTTGGAACGAATTTGTGATAAAAATTTATCATACCAACAAAACGTTGTAATTGTTTGAGAGTATTCGGCTTAGGAAAATTTTTAATACATTCTATTTTTTCGTCTGAAGGAAATAATCCTTCCGCTGAAATAGTAAGAAATTAATTTGTTCAACTCCAAAAATGCATTTACTTGGTTTAACGTTAACGCCAAAAGAGTGTAATCTTTCAAATAAAATATCCAAATGTTTAAAATGATCAATTGAATTTTTGCTAGCTACTAAAATGTCGTCTAAATACACGAAAATAAAATCTAAGCCTCTAGTAACTTTGGTAATGAATCTTTGAAAGGTATTGCCAGCGTTTCGCAATCCAAAAGGCATTCTGAGAAATTCAAAAGATCCAAAAGGAGTGGTGATTGCTGTTTTAAAAATATCTTCTTCAGCCATCGGAATCTGGTGATAGGCCCTAACCAAATCGATTTTTGTTAGAATCGATCGTCAGAAATTAAACTTAAAGGAAATCTGTCAGGTACTGTTACTTTATTTAAAAATCTGTAATCTCCACAAGGTTTCCAATCTTTTGAGTCTTTTTTGGACCATGTGTAAAGCAGAAGTGACATAAGAAGATGAAGATTCCCTTGCCCAAAGCTCTCAATTATCATAAGATTTGTGTTCAGCGAGCATTGGCTAACACCGGCCAATATAAACACTTCTCGGCGACGTTGTTAACTACATTAAATTTGTAGGCTCGCTGACGAACTAAGAGGGGTCTCTTAATTCAGGAGGATGCACAATAGGTCTAGTGAGGCCTAAGTGCTGTAGGACAACCCACCCTCCAATAATATAAATTTTTATAGAACCCTCATCAAATATATTTTTAATCGACTTCAAAAAAGGAGGAGGTTGTCAATTCGTCGGAATATTTTTTTATATGTATGTTCAGCGATAATTTTTTAACACGTTGTCCAATTTCAATAATTCTTTTTTGTTAGAAAGGGGGTACCTCAGGGGTGGTCCCATATAAATTTGGTCAAGATGTGCACGATTTTGATGTCGGTTTTTTAAAATTACTTTTAATACTTGTTATTTAGATTTTTGGTGATCCTAATGAAATAAAGTATTATACGCTTCCCTATAATAAATATCTCAGGTACTTTCATGAATACCTCCTTCACAACTAAATAAATTTATCTAAAAAGTGAAAATATCGACGCACCGTAACACGCATATCTGATGACGCCCGCACCAAATGTGTTAAACGTTAAAATAAATCTGAAATGGGTAAATAATTCATTATTCCCGAGACTGCAGTGTTGCCGGATGTGATGGGCTTCGTAATGGTGGTTTGTTTAACATGATCTGTATATAATCGCGTTTGACTCTTGTGCCCTCTGCCGCTGAAACAACTGAACTACAGGCGTATATTTGGAGGTATTTTCCGACATTTTGAAGCCCACCCTTTTTTGCTTAAACGATACAGATGGAGTTACTTGCCTCTAAAACGAATTTATACACTGTGTTTTTAGGATAATAATAATAATCATTTATTTCTGTAGACCTGAATACATAGGTATAGAAAACGTCACATAAAATTTACAAACAAGACAAAAATGTATGAGTAAAAACAAACTTATACATAATTCGTTACAAACAATGCATTTAAAACATTTAAGTAAAATTAAAACATTTAAGTGAAATTATAACAAAACATTTAAGTAAAATTGCAATTGAGGTATTCCTCAACACTATAAAAAGTGTGATTTAGTAAGACCTCTGCTACTTGGGTTTTGAAAGCTTTAACATCATTTATGCATTTTATGTTATCCGGAAGTTTATTGTAAAGCTTGATTGCTGTAATTAGAGGTCCTTTACTTGCCATAACTAATTTATGTCTAGGTATAACGAGATTTTGTGCATTTCTTAAATTGTACCCGCTATTAATAGAAATATTACCTCTACAAAGAAAATTATGATGATTAGACCTTACATATAACACACATTTTAAAATATAAACGGAAATAACAGTTAAAATTCTTAGGTCTTTAAAAAGTTGTCTGCATGAGAATTGTCTATTTTTGAAAGTAAAGGTTCTTATAGCCTTTTTTTGTGACACAAGTATGTCATTTATTCTATTACAATTTCCCCAGCATAATATGCAGTAATTCAAAATCGAGTGAATTTGAGCGAAATAATACATTTTCAGGATATCTACTGAAATGAAATGTCTTAGTTGCCAAAGGACATAACAGTGAGTGGCCAATTTAGATGTGATATGGTCAACATGAAAATTACAAGAAACATTACAATCAAAATGAACTCCTAAAAATTTGACACATTTACTTTGAGTTATAGATGTACCATTGTGGCGGACCAGTAAACTATAATTTAACTCTCTTGGGGAAAATAATAGCATATTTGTTTTATTAACATTTAAAAATAGCCCATTGTTGTAACAATAACTACTCATAGTTTCGACAGCCATGTTAGCTTGATCTCGTAACAAAAGAGTATCTTTACTTACAACACTAAATGATGTATCATCAGCAAATTGAGTGATAAAAATATTAGAACTGGCTAAGTCGTTAATAAAAAGAAGAAAAAGAGTAGGACCTATGACACTACCTTGTGGTACACCGGAACTGACTTCGATTTGGGATCTGTTAGTTAAAAAAGATTTTATCCACATCAGAGCAGGGCCCCTGATACCATACAACTCAAGTTTATGTAAAAGTAATTCTTGATTGACCGTCTCAAAGGCTCGAGAAAGATCAAAAAATAAAGTTAGACATTTATTATTTTTATCAAAATTTTCTAGGATATGATTGAACAATGTAAGAGTTGCATCTTGAGTGGAAATACCTTTTTGGAAACCGAATTGATAAGGATTTAAAATGCTGAACGTGTTAATATATTTTACTAGCCTGGTTTGGAATGCTTTTTCGTAGATCTTTGAAAATGCTGGTAATAATGATATACCACGGTAATTTGCAAACTCTGTTTTTTCTCCTTTTTTAAAAAGTGGTATTATAACTGCACTATTTAGGATCTGAGGAAATGAACCATTTTGAAAGGACAAATTAATTAAAATAACCAAAGGTTCCACGATATATTCCAATGCATGGAACAATAAACTATATGGAATTTCATCAATTTCGCAAGAGTTTTTTGAGGATATTGTTGTTATAATTGTTACTACCTCGGAATTTGTTACTGGATATAAAAACAGTGAATCTCTACATGAACTTATGTTGTTTCCTTCGTTTGAGTTTTCTATTGTTATTTTTGATAAAAGGTCTGATATTGACCCAGAGAAAAATCCGCAAAAGATTCAGCAATATCAGTCGGTTTTAAAATTCGTTTAGCTTCATTATCTTTAAAATAGTTTGGGTAGTTATTTTTATTTTATTTTTTCCCATTTATATTGTTATTTAGTATATTCCAGGCACCTTTTGTTTTGTTGTTTGAATAAAACATTTGAGTATCGTAATAATTTTTCTTTGCTGCCGTAATTTTTAGCCGATGATTTCTTTTAATAATATTGTATTCTTGCAAAATACCTTTATCACCAGAACATTTGTAGAGATAAAAAAGATCTCTTAAAAGGAAACCTTCATTTATAATTTCCGTAGTAATCCAAGGCTTTCCCTTATTTATATTAATATTTGATTTTTTTTATATGATTCTATTGGAAATGACTTTTCAAAAATCGGGCGTCGTAAGTGATTAGTGGGTTTCATATATCATTTGAAATGTAACGTTTTGGGCTTAGTAATGTCTGATATATATAAAGTATGTAGACATTAGGCAAACTTTCTGTTATTTGTTCCTAAAAAAATGTCATTTTTAGTTTTGGGTTATTTTCTAGTATTTATAAACAACGTGTCTGTACCCCATTAGTTAAGTTAATGCTTTAAAATGGATGTGAACAAGAATTTATTTTTTATGATTTTATTCTGTTTGTTTCATTTTGATATTTTAGTCTACAAATAAATATGACTTCTAAAGTTCAGTTTTTTGCTTTACTTCAAGCACCCACCTACCTTCCTACTTACCTTCAAAAGAATTAATAAAAAAACATGATCCAAAATGCCTTAAGGGGTCCCAAAATCCTTTTTTGCACACAGGCGCCAATAGCCCTGGTAATACGGATTAGACGGCATCAAACTCGGTTCTGCCCATTTTCGGTGAACAAAAGTAACTTCTTATAAAGCACTTTTATTAAAATAAAAATTAACAATTACAGTTACTAAATAAATATATGAATTATATAAAAATATATGCTGAATGTAAACTATTTAACTTTTGGGTAACTTTAAGCAATAACACTGCAAAAATTGCAATTTTTTAAGGGGCGTACTAAATTTCGGATTCGATTGCCCTTCTTCTGGTTTCTCTTTTGTTTGTTTTCATACTTTTCCATATCTTGTACCCTATAAATATTACGAGTAACGTTAGGAGTATGTAGAGTGGGGTCACCCAGTAGTGGTTACTTCCTGTGTCCCATTCCTCGATTGGCACAAATTGTAGATTTTCCTCCTCTTTTGTAAGCTTGTGTAGTTCATCAAGATGGATTTTATCCAGTTTTAATGGTTTCACCTTGGCCATATTTTGAATGTTGATTGTTTTAATTTTGGGTAGTGTTAAAGGATCTTCCATGATGCTAATTTGGGAATTAATGAAACTTTCCTTGCTGGTCTTAAATTCGCAACTAGGTGGCAATTCGATTAAATATATCCCTTGAAGAATTGTTACTGTTGAGCTGGAGCATATAGTATGTACCTTTGTTGGATGTGGGAAGATAGCAATGTAGTGAGCTTCCGAAATTTCCTCGATTATAGTGCTGTTAAGGACGACTGGTACATTTTCGCAGGATGCTGCTTCGTTTTCGATCTGTAGAATTTGGATGATACAGTCTTCACTTCCTGACACGTCTAGTAGCAGTTTTTTCTCACATAGAAACTCTTGTCCGAGTTTTTTGCACGGTAATTCATTGTATTGAAATAGGGCAGGGTTTGTAAGAAGGTAGGAGGCGTACGGGATAATAGTTGAGTGATTTTGTGTTGGGATCGAAAATAAATGATAGTATGAAAAAGGATTTGGGTGTATTATAGGAATATGTAGAATGAATACAATCGTGTTGTTAGTATAGTAGGCATCAACTTCAATAATGCTGTAATATTTGTGAAAGTCTTGTTGTTTGGAGTACAGAAGCTGATCTTTAGAGTGGTGCTCTAACATCGATGTTATAATCCAACGCAGTTCTTTTTCTTTAATAAGGCTGTTATGCAGGATATTAATCTTGGCTAAATTTACTGCTTCTTCCAAGTCATTTAACAACTGTAGAATAATCTGAAGGATAATATTAAGCTGGTCCACCACATTTTTTGTTTGAAGGTACTGGCTAAAGTTAAAATTGATGTAATCTATTTTCTGCTTGATTTCATTGATTTCATTAGCAATTTTGTCTTGATTGTGAGTGATTAGCGAAATTGTTTCTTGGAATTTTTCCATTACTCTTGTGTTCAGGCTTATGTGGTGATTTAATTGAGACACTATGTTTTTCTCATTTTCTGCAAGCGTCTTGATTGCTTTGTTATAATACTTGGCATCTTCTTGGTCGAGATTTCCGGTAATCGATTTAATGACACTGCCGAGACCATCTATAAGTCCTCTTTTTGGTCTAGAAAAAGGAGAGATGGAACTGAACTTTTCTTTAACACTCCGTAATTGGTAGCGAAGGGCTTGATCAAAGTTTACTAAATCACGGGAATATTTGTAGGTTGAATTCTGAATTGCTCTGGTGACGACCATGTATTCTTGTTCTATGGATGCAATTTCGTCTGCGATTGGTTGAAGCGGATAATAATGTATAAAATCATGTCTGCTGGTCTGAATTTTTGCTTGACCCTGATACACAGGCAATATGCCAGGGTTGTTTTGGAGGTTTGTGATTTGGACTTTTTGTCCCATGCCGAAGGTACACCTGCAATATATTTTCTTTATTAGTATTATTTTTATGAATGTTAGGTTTTTCGATAATAATCGTAGGTAACAGGATTGTTGGATTCGATGATTTTAGGAAAGAATTTTGGAAGGAGTGTGTTTCTTCTTACTATTTTACATGAGTATATTTTGGGAAAAGGTTTATAACGTTTGCTTTTAGGTAATCATTGAGAACGTCTATGAATTTTAGTTGTGTCACAGAATGTATAGAATTATTACAGACAATTATAGAGTATAACAATTTTTGGTCTTTTGTCGATGTTCCAGAATAAGTAGTGCAATAAAAGCACTATCATTCCATTAGACTATGAGGTGTCTGAAGTAGTTAATATAACTAGTATAGTGAATACCTATTTTACGCATGTCCACAAATTCTTGGATTAGTCCAATTTTCAACTCGGTACCGCTAGGGTGTGTGAAGTTAGCATCTCAAATCTTAGCATCTCATATGTTAAGCAGAGTTCTTATGGCATCCGATATAGTTTTATAGTTCCTGATACTTTTTATCAATAGTTCTGTCTAATTTAGCACTTAAAAATGCAATTTAAAAAATGAGATGATAACGACCGGAAGTTAGCATCCCAATATAATAAATGAAACAAAATTAAAAAAGCAGACAGTGAATCGATAGTTTACGAAGAGTTCTAGAGTTCTTGTTCGTTTCAATAGCTAAATTATTTTTATTTACAGCACTCTTAAAATAATTATAAATAATGATTATACATATAAATTCTAGGCGATAGTAAAATGCTGTCATATTATGACAACTTCTAGAACACATATTGCTCCTAAATTACAATGCTTCTAAATATTAACTTGACTCTCTCTATATTGAGACCCATAGAGTTCCAGAATCTTGCATTTTTTGAAATTTTTTAAGTATTATTAATAAACAGAAATTAAAGACCATAGTAAGATGCTGCCATACTATAACGAGTTCTAAAATATACAATGCTTCTAAATGATAACTTGACTCTATCTGCATAGAATCCCGAAGAGTTCTAGCCTCTAGAACTTTTTAAATAATTTTAAGTACTAATAACAATAACAAATTATAGACTATATTTATAGAACATATAATGCATTTAAATGATATTTTGACCGCCTTTGCATTGATTCCCAAATATTTCTAGCCTCTAGCACTTTTTCAATATTAGTACGTAATAATATCAAACAGAAATTATGTATCAAAGTGAGATGCTGGCACATTATGACGAGTTCTAAAATATATAATGCCTCTAAATGATACCCTGACTCCTATGCGTTGAAACCCAAAGAGTACTAGCCTCTAGAACTTTTTTAATAATTGTAAGTAATAATAATAAACATAAATTATATACCATAGTAAGATGCTGGCACAATATGACGAGTTCTGAAATATATAACGCTTTTAAATGATACGTAGACTATATATGCATGGAGTCGCGAAGAGTTCTAGACTCTTGCACTTTTTGAATAATTTTAAATAGTAATAGTAAAAATAGTAAACAGAAATTATAGACTATAGTGAGAAGTTGTTATATTATGACCAGTTATTAAATATATAATGCTTCTAAATCATATCATAAATTTCTTTTCATTGAGACCCAAAGAGTTCTAGCGTCTAGCATATTTGGAATAATTTAAAGTATTAATAATAAACAAAAATTATAGACTATAGTGAGATGCTGTCATATTATGGCGAGTTATAGAATAGATAATGCCTCTAGATTATACCTTGAGCTCCTCTGCATTGAAACCCAAAGAGTTCCAGCCTCTAGCACTTTTTCAATAATTTTATGAATTAATAATATACAGAAATTATATACCATAGTGAGATGCTGTCACTTTATGACTATATAGTTCTGAAATATATAACGCTATTAAATGATAAGTAGACTATCTCTGCATGGAGTCGTGAAGAGTTTTAGCGTCAAGCACTTTTTGAATAATTTTAAGTATTAATAGTAAACAGAAATTATAGACTATAGTGAGATGCTGTCATATTATGACGAGTTATAGAACATATAATGCCTCGAAATGATATCTAGACCCTCTTTGCATTGAGACCCAAATAGTTCTAGCCTCTAGCACTTCTTCAATAATTGTAAGTAATAATAATAAACAGAAATTATATACCTACTATAGTGAGATACTGGTACACTCTGATGAGTTCTGGAATATATATCGCTTTTAAATGATAACTAGACTATCTCTACGTGGATTTGCGAAGAGTTCTAGCTTCAAGAAATTTTTACAAAATTTTAGGTGTTAATCATGAACAGAAATTATAGACTATAATGAGAAGCCGTCATATTATGACGAGTTCTAGAATATACAATGCTTCTAAATGATAACTTGACTCTTTTTGAATTAAGACAAAGATTTCTAGCTCCTAGCACTTTTTGAATAATTTTTATTATCAATAATAAACAAAAGTTTTAGACTACAGTGAGTTGCTACATATTTTGATGAGTTCTAGAATATACTATGCTTCTAAATAATAACTTGACTCTTTCTACATTTAGACCGGAAGTGTTCTAGCCTTTAGCACTTTTTCAACAATTGTATGTAATATTAACAAACAGAAATTATAAACCAAATTGAGATGCTAGTACATTATGACGAGTTCTAAAATATATAATGCCTCTAAATGATACCTTGATTCCTTCTGCGTTGGGACCCATAATATGACAGAATCTCACCATAGTCCATAATTTTTGTTTGTTAATATATTAATACCTAAAATTATTGAAAAAGTGCTAGAATCTAGAATTCTTTGTCTCAATGCAAAGAGAATTGTTATTATTTAGAAACATCCTATCCTATAACTTTTTATAATGTGCTAGCCTCTTACTATTGTCTATAATTTCTGTTTGTTATTTATACATAGAATTATTGAAAATGTGCTAGAGGCTAGAACTCTTCGGGTCTAAAGGCAAAGAGAGTCAAGTTATGATTTAAAAGCATTGTATATAGTTTCCTGCATTCAGTATCTAGTTGCGTCTCTTCTCTTATTTCATCTTTGGTAACAGGAATTGAATTAAGTTGATTTAAGTAAAATGCTCCGTCCACATCAATTTCTTCCCACATAGGTTCATCAGTGGCAGACGTGGATAAGTAGTCAGCGTTGGAATGTTCTTCAGTAGGTCGAATTTTAATTGTGTAGTTGAATCCTGCTAAGAAATTTGCGTAATGTACTAATCGTAAAGCTGTAGTTACTGGAAGGTTCTTCTCTGGATTCGAAATTCTTGCTAAAGGTTTGTTGTCTACTATTAGGATAATTTTTCTACCATAACAATATTGAACAAATTTTTAAGTCCTCAATTTAAAGCTGTAGTTCTTCTCCGCCTTTGTTAGTGATCGTGAAGCGGAAGCTATGGGTCTTTCAACACCATTTGGCATAATATTTGATAAAACAGCACCAAAGCCTGTTGGTGATGCATCGGTTGCTAAAGTAACAGGAAGATTAACATTAAAAGGCGTTAACACTCTTGGACTTGTGATGATTTCTTTCAGTTTGATAAATGCAGAATTGCATTCTGCTGTCGATTCGAACTTAACATTTTTGCGTAACAAATGATGCAATGAATGTAATCTTGTAGCTAAGTTCGGAATAAATGAATGGTAATAATTAATTAGACCAAGAAAAGTGCGGAGTTCGGTAATGTTTTTGGGTGGTAAACTTTTCGAAATAGCCTCGATCTTTTCTTGCATTGGATGTAGTCCTTCTTTATCAATGGTATGTCCTAAATAGGAAATTGAATTTTTGAAAAATTGACATTTTGTTTCATTTAGATGTAATCCACTATCTCGTAATCGATCAAAAACTTGTCGAAGTCTCCCAATTAGTTCAGACGGTGATCGTCCCTGCACGATGACATCATCGAAAAAGCACGCTACACCCTGCAGATCTTGTAATGTTTGGTCCATCAATCTTTGCCAAGCATTTGGTGCTACTTTTACCCCGAACATATTTTGCCGTTTCAATAGATAAAGCCGTTGTGACGATTTCTTTGAATGAAATTGTTTTACTTTGCTGTAGCATTTTTTCTCTTGTTTCGTTACAACGAACTCCACGTATAAATTGTGATCTTAAATGGGAGTTAACAATTGACTTCTGATAGTGCTCACATACAAAATTGCAATTTGTTGTTAAAAGTTTTAACTCTGCTTGAAAATTTGCGATAGACTCACCTTCTTGTTGGACACGCATTGCAAACTTGTGCTGTTCTGCAATTTCACTAGGTCTAGGGCAAAGGTGAGAACGCAGTAATGTAATTAATTCTTTGTATTTTTTTGTTTTTGGAAGATCTGGAGCGGTTAAACTGGTTAATGTCTGATATATTTTAGGTCCAATACAGCTGATTAGAATTTGAACGCTTTTTCTATCATTTTCTTCAGTGTCATCTGTAAGATTTCGTAATTCTAAATGATTTTGAAGTCTTTGTAGGTATGCTTCGAAGGATTCATTAATTTCATCATAAGGTTGTAAAGGAATACCTCTGGTATCAATGATAGGTTCCGCTTCCGAATGTTCTCGGACTTGCCTAGTAAGGAGGGTTTGTTGACTCTGTACATTTTTCAAGGTAGAAACTAATTCACGTAAAAGTTCTTCCATTTGGATTTTCCCTCGAATTTGCTTTTATCCTCGTCGCCAATCTGTTAAGTATGTAATACGGTAATGCAATACAAATTGGAAGTAATATATTTCGTATTAATAATACAACTGACAAATAATTAAAATTAATCTGACAATGACAATTCTCTCATCCTACATGTATTATCTATTTTATAATATATAACGTATATAACAAGTACCACTCCAATTTGATAGATGGCAGCACATCGACTCAAAATTTTACCATTGAGTTTACCATCTATTCACATTAGCAATCTATGGTTATACCTAGTTAGTTGAATTTTTGTTCTGCTGCTTTTCAAATTCGTGTGTATAAGCGAGATGTGAGATACCTTCATAGTGACAACGGTTGAACAACT